GTAGTGGTAGTAGTAGTAGTAGTAGTAGTTGTTGTTGTTGTTGTTGTTGAAAAAGAACAAGCAGAAGCACAAACAAAGCAGCAGCAGCAGCAACAGCAGCAGGAGGAGTAGTAGTAGAAGAAGTAGAAGTAGAAGTAGAGGTGGTGGTAGTAGTAGTAGTAGTGGTAGTAGCAGTAGTAATAATAATAACAATAGTGGTAGTGGTAGTAGATGGTGTTGTTGTTGCTGTTTTGTTGCGGTTGTCGCTATTATTGTTATTATTGTTGTTGTTGCGCTTTGTCTGGAAGAGGAAAAGCAGAAGAGCAGCCAAAAGCACAAAACTTTGAATATGCAAAGCCACTCGGGCAGCATATCTCGCACCACGGGCCCTTGAAAATAGCAATGTTGATGCCATGGGGTACCCGTTTTTATGTTGATCCATCGAATCTCATGTCACAAAAGTGCCTCTCTCGATGCTCTCCCTAGTGGCCTGCGATGTTTATCAAAACGTAGGCGCTTGGTCGGTGGCAAGGGGCGGACCCCCTACTACCTAAAGCTGGAATACCTAAAGGTAGAATCCTTCGGCCTGGGCCTTTGGCGATCAACAGGCCTTGCCTGCCGCCGACCCACTCGGGGCCTATGCTTTACTGTGTATTTTGGCAGCATCAGTTTTGAAAGTGCGTTGTGATGTCGATCGGTTCAAATTGTTTTCAATTGCTCGTGGTGCGAGCTATGTTGGCCGAGCTGCTGTGCAATGTCAACATTTTATGTTTATGCTCTAATTTTTTGTTTGTATTATTTATTCTTATTGCTCTTCCTCTTTATCTTCTTCTTCCAATTCCTCTTCCTCTTGTTTGTTATCTTTCTCTTGTTATTTATCGCTCTCTTCCCGTTCCTCTTCCTCGTCCTCTGCCCTTGCTCTTTCTCTTCCTCTTTTTTCTTCGGAAGAGAAGACAAGGAAGAGGAAGAGCCAGACAAAGCGAGAGGAAGAGGTAAAGGAAGAGAAAGAGAAAGAAGTGAATAGGAAGAGAAGAAGAGGAAGAGGAAGAGACAAAGAAAAAGCAAGAGGAAGAGATTTCCGGGAAGAGAATGAGAAAGAAGAAAGGGAAGAGGAAGAGGAAGAAGAAAAAAAAAGAGAAGGGCAAAAAGCAAGAGAAAAGGAAAGAGCAGCAACTGGGCCCCAACTGTCAGGCGTAAGCCTATAAATCCGGGCGTGTCCTCGCCGAATGCTTTTGGTTAACCAAAGGTGAAAGGGGTGGACGCCCCCACCGCCGACCACTGAAGGGCTGCGCTTTACGGTGTATGTTTCACATTTTTGGAGACGCGTTTTCGCGCTGATCGATTTCAAGTCGTTGTCAACAGCAGGTGGTGCGAGTTATGCTTCCCGAGTGGACCTGCATTATTGGCATTTTATGCTTTTGAATCCTCTCCTCCTCTTCCTCTTGCTTTTGTGTTTCTCTCGTTCAAGAGGAAGAAGAAAGGAGAAAGATAATTGAAAAGAAAGATGGCATGAGAAAGAGGAAGAGAAACATAAAAATAAAGAGATAAAAAAACATGGGAAATGGAAAGAGGAAGAGGAAGACAAAGAGGAAGAGAAGTGGAAAGAGAAAGAGACAAAGAAAGAGGAATGTTAAAAAATGGATGGAGTACGGCGCCAGATTCCCTGGCCTAAATAGGTCCCCAAATCTTTTTTGGAGCAGTAAGGTGACAAGATTCTCTGGCCCAACTGGGTTCCAATTTTTTTTGCCAGCTGTCAGGTGGCAAGATTTTTGGCCTAACTGGGCTCCAAGTTCTTTTGGTGCAATAAAGTTGCAAGATTCTCTGGGCCAACTTGGTTCCCAATGTTCTTCGGATATATATATATATGAATTAATGCTTTAATATTGTTATTGTTGTTCGATTCAATATAACTCCATACAATGAGTTAAATCTCCACCGTGCACAGTAATTCGTCAGTTCATGTCAGTTTCATCCATAGCGGTATAAATGCTTGAAGAAATCCAAAGACCTGAGACGCTGACACTAAAGAGTGGATCCAGGAGGACCTGGTGCCAAGGAGATATGTTGGTAGCCAAATTACTTTTCTGGAAAAGCCTCAGACTATCTCAGTTTGCAGGATGAAATGGTGAAAAGAACGACCAGCCATTGAACTTGATTCAATAACTCCTGACAATCATTAGATTAGTTTGGGGCCAACAAACCAAGCAAACATGTTTTCTGTGAAGAGGCGGGTCAAAATAGAAACACAACACATCAATGCAAAACAACCACCACTAAATACCATAACACAACCATGTCCCGACTCAATCTTCCTCGCAAAGCAACAAAAAGTACACGAGGCAAAAAGCGGTAAAAAGCGCTGCCTCGGCAATCTTGAAGTCTTGCACCGACTTGTTCACCTGCGCGACTCAACGCAGGGCAAGGAACCCTGCCTATCAACTTTCAATCACCAGAATGCTGATGCTTGCTACTTGCTAATCGTGCAAACGAAATGCCATACTGTACCACAAGCAAGGCCAACAACATGCAAGTGCAAAGATTGCATAGCCTTTCTGAGGAAAGCGTGCTACCCTGTGTAAACTCACTCTTTGAGTAGTTGGGCATCAAGCTTTACCGAAGACTTTGCTGCCTTTGCTGCAATGTGAGAAGGTTATATATATATATGTATGTATATAGTTATATTAGATTACATATGACTTTTTGTAGTATACGTACTTGGAATGAGTTTCACCATCATTCACCCCAGAGCCATCGGTGCGGCCTCTGCTTGGAGCTCTCCAAGGTGTTGTAGTTTTTTCTGTGATCCCCTGGAGTGAGTAAGCTCTCCACACAACAAAAACAGGCAGTCACACCGCAGCTTGCCTTTGTTCGATCATCTCGAGTCAATTGAGTCTTTCGGACTTTCACAAAACTGCTAGCGCTGCTAGCGCTCAAAAGGCAACCAGCTAGGGCAGCTAGGACTGCTAGGGACCTCGGACATTTCCATCATCTCCAGCTGCTCCACTGCCTGCTCTGACACAAAGGTCCCATGAAGATCCTTGAGCACAACGGCTTCGGCTCTCTCAATCAATGCACATAATAAAAGTAGACGGTAAGTATTCAAAGCTGCACAAACAAAATCACAAAAAGAAAATACTTTCAAACATTCAACACTCAACACTGCCGGACATTGAGAACCTTCAAAATTATATTTGTTCGTGTTTAGTCCTGTTTCTTCATTTCTCGGTCCGGACACCTATAACTAAGCACGCTCTTTGTACAAACAACTGCTCAAGCTGAATGAACTAAGGAAACCAACACTTTAAAAGCGACAGTTCTTTCAATCCTCACTTAGACTTGGCGGATGTTGTTGATACAATTTGTATTTTTTGTCGACTCAGAATAAAGCCACCTACTGCATTGTAAACGTCAACGGAAACCCAGCAAAGCTAGCAAAGCACCAAAGTAAAGCTCCCCCTTGATCCTGTTCCTGATGTGACCCATGCCGGAGTCTGCACGACAGCTGTTGCAAAGCTAGGATGATACGACCTTGCCGGCATGTCAAGCACACAATGTGCATGGACAAAGGTGATCCAGCCACATACAGTACCTCGACTGTTGATTGGTGATTCCATGGCAGCTTTCCAGCGTTTCTCGGCCTTCACAATATGATTGCAGAATCACTTCTTCTAGTTTGCACCAGTACTTGATAGATTCCGAGAAACCCAAAATACAATATTTCTTCTTCTCCGGCCTGTCTGCCACACAAGCACACTTGGCCTCAGCACAATGCTGTTGGGCACAGTGTAGGCAATAGTCAGTACAAATAAGATCAAATAAGTTTGCATGCAAAGCTGCAAAATTTCCTTTACGCAACTCAATGGGTGGCTCCATACATGAGAACACAATATACAAAAGAAAATCTGGAGCACCAGCCTACTGCAACCCGTTTGGGAGGAAGAATCCTACGGTGCATCAGCATCTCTGCAACATGTCCTGTGTGGGAGTCCGGGCTCCACTGACTTCGTCCATGGTTGGAAGACCCTAGCATTGTACATCCGATCAATTTCGATCACCTGGACCTGCCTGAAACGACTTTGTAATGACCGTTGTGAGTCGTCTAAGCAATGCTTGTCGTCTCAGCAAATCCGGAAGTTTTCAAACAAAGAGAGGGATTTGTTCCAAAGGCAGGCACTTAAGCATGCATTGCATTGCTCAGGTATGATTTCGTGGCATGCACTCAACTCAGAGGTGCACAAAAAATGGTACACTGCTCGTTTCTTCACAGTCATGTAACATGTAGATCAACTTGTTCAATATGCTATTCGATGTCTACATTCATGCAATGAGCTTGTGAAACCTCTTTGATGTATCGATGGCACTGCAATGGAGTTTGGCATGTTCAAGCTATCAACCAGCGAGCCTATGTGGCTGGGGTGGACGAGAAAAGAGGAGCGGCCAGCTTCGGCTCCAAAATACTTTCCTGGAAATACAGTAAGATTTCCCGCCAGCACTGACCGCACTAGCTGTTCGCACACAGCACATGACTGCAACTCTCAATGCACCGCTGACCAGTTAAAACAAATTCAGGGTAAGCCACACAAGAATACTCAAAGTATCAGCTTGCTCCCTCCCAAGTTCGGTCCATGCACTTTCCAGCAGCATGCTTCGAGGTGGGGAGGCAATGGCACGGCAAATCCTCATGGCAAACCGTGGGCACTACAGTCACCACATGTCACCACCAGTCGCGAACAAATCACTGACTCTGGACTCCGGACCACTCAAATGGATGCGTCCTTGCTCATAGTAGCGATGCCCTTTGTTACTTACTAGTAGTGTCCTTGCCCCTATATACAGTATGAAATAGCTTGAAGCCGGTTGAGAAAGGTAGTGGTATGTGTGTGCTGAATACGGCCTCGAGAATCAACCCAATTCTTCAAACCGCTCCAAAAGCAATCCGGCGAGCCGAACCTCCACCAAGAAACCTGTTCCCTTCCCGTTCCAGCTTATGATGTTGCCAAGGGGCTTGAAAAAGATGAGGTTCAGGCCTAAATTTTGCAAACAACCAACGTAGTCATGCAAATGGTTGAACACATATGATTTTGTGGCTCTACCAAACTTTACCCAAAGCCGCCAGACTATAAGAGACTTGCGGTGATTGGGTAGCACCACATCCTTCTAATTTAGTGGTACTAGTAGCTTCTAGCTATATACTAGTAGCAAGGTGCCTTACTAGTACTGTAGTAACAAACTACTAGTAGTAAGGCACCTTGCTACTAGTAGTTTCTAGCTACGCCCTTGTTGCTAGCAACTTCCTTAAGCAGAATGCCTAAATATATTTCGTGAGTTTGGAAGAATGATCTTGGTGACAACGATACAGTCTGCTGCTGCCATGCAACTGGCATCACCAATCCAAATGCCTTCAGATGGTACCTGGTGATCATGACTTGGCGGCAAAGGGAGGTGTGATCATTATAAAATTGTACATATTAAATATTGATTATATAATATTATATATAAATATCAAAATATATACAACGACAACCCACCACGACGAAACCAAATGTTCAATGTTCAATGGTTTTGTGGCGACAAAACTGGGTCCCTCCCCTGCACAAACATGGATGGTCCAAACGAACCCGCCCAACCCTAACTATTCAACGAAGGGAGTAGAGGCGCAGTGGTTGGTTCATGTCTGCTGTTCCCTCCCAACAAGCGGCCAGTGTTGTGCTGTGAAGAACACAGGGTTGCTAAAAAATCAGCGAGGGCCACCTGCCGGGAACATCAGCAAACGGTTGAATGTTATTAATTATTATGTTTGGACTTATCGCTGAGTTTGCCCCGACGTTTCTAGCCGTGGGCATATTTATTAGGCCCTCAGGTGTGTCTCAACATGAAGAGGTTCATTCTGTTGAGACATCAAAAACACAGGTCCGATGGCCATGAACGGCCTTTGTTACGCGCAGTTGAGACACGGGCAACAAGAGACAGGAAAAACAGGATCCAATGACATGTGCCAGAAATTGTTCATTGCTGGAGTGTATGTTTGAAACAACCAGCTAGTCTCACGGTAGGACCCATCGGGCTATCTACTCAGGTGGCCCCGCTTGTGGCCCCGAAAGTTGTGGTATTTTTTGGCGCCCGTGTGGCCCGGCTTTGCCTGCTACTTACCTTGGTCAACCCGATGGAGTGGGTCTAATGGATAATGGGAGGAGCATGATTTTGTAAGAGGGCAAACATTTCAAAGGCTGCAAAGCCGCGCGAAAAAAATTGGTGCGGAGAACCCTCCTAGTGTCATTTCCGTGGGGTGAGAGAAGGGCAGCGATATAGTGATGTACAGGTGAGGGCTGTTAGATTAGATCTTAATGTTAGCTAATTACTTCGCGTCCTCTCCTCCTCCCGCTCATCGCCTCCTCACAACCGCAAGTGTTCCCCGCCGGACATCAACCGCCAGGTCCCAATGGCAGCGTTAACCACCGGCTCCCTGCAATCGCAGCTCCCGACGGCAGTGTTCCGCGCCGGACTGCATCTGCCAGCTCCCGACGGCAGTGTGAGCCGCTAGCTCCCGATGGCAGTGTTCCCCACCGGACCAAAACCGCCAGCTCCCGACGGCAGTGTTCCCCGCCGGACCTCAACCGGCAGCGCCCGACCGCAGGACCTCAGCCGGCAGCTTCCGACGGCAGCGTTAACCACTGCAGCTCCCGATATAGCAGTGCTCCCCGCCGGACCAAAACCGCCAGCTCCCGACAGCAGCGTTCCCCGCCGTACCTCAACCGGCAGCGCCCGATGGCCTCATTCCCCGTCAGCCGGCAGCTCCCGAAAGGGTTCCGCGCCGGACCTCAACCGCCAGCTTCCTGCCGGACCAGTTCCGGATGGCAGTGTTCCCCGCCAGACCCCAAAAGATATGTTAAATAGAACGCCAGAAAAAATGCCACAAGATATGTCAGAAAGAATGTCAAAAGATCTGCCAGAAAGAATGTGAGAAGATACGCCAAAAAGAATGTCAGAAAGAATGTCAAAAGACTAGACGACAGGGTGGCCCGAAAGCATAGTAGCAGTAAGCATTATTACGGAATGGCTCCAAACGAAAACGAATGATCACAGGCGCACGATGATGTATAATGTCTGCGTATGTATGACGTTGATGATGATGATGATGATGATGATGTATGATAATTTAATATAGCTTAAATGTATTACGGCGATGATGATGATGATGATGATGATGACAAAACACTGCGCTTGCCGCGAAAAGCTCTTTCCCGTACTGCAGTTGCACTAAAATCTGGCCGCTTCTGAGTCCAGCTCCGAAAGGCTCTTTCCCGCACTACATGTGTACTACAAACTGGCCACGTCTGAGTCCAGCTCCAAAAGTGAAGCGCCAAGTCTCCAAAACGAGCGTTTCGTACGAGACTTCGCGTCAAAGTCTCCAAAGTGAGCGTTTCGTATGACCCAAAACGAGCGTTTCGTATACGAGACTTCCTCCAAAATTGCGAAGCGCCAAGTCTCCAAAACGAGCGTTTCGCACGAGACTTCCTGCAAAAGTGAAAGTCTCCAGAACGAGCATATCGTAATTACAAGACTTCCTCCAAAAGTCACGCATCGACACGCACCATCCCCGCAGAGGGTTGCTCGGGCACAAAAGCGATCGGCGTTTCACGACACGTTAATTTGAGCACTCGACACGCGCAATCCTCGCAGAGGGTCACCCGCGCACAAACCAAATTTAATGGGGCCTCCCATTTGGGGCCCTAGGGTGGGTGGGGCCCCAGAATATGTTTTTTATTATTCAGGGGTGTAGGACCTACACCTGACTTGACCAAAAATTATTCCATATGTGAACAGTTCTCAGGAATAATTTAAAGCAACTTTCAACATGCAGTCTATATGGCATCCTGAGGGAGGCAGTCTCTCTTTATGGCAAACATGTAGTAAAGGCAAGGCCTGCACACCACAAGCTTTACTAGTACTTGCGCTGCTAGAACTAACCCAAAGACACCAACTCCTCACCAGAACCCTCACTAGTTTTTGCACTCCTGTACACAATCTCCATAACCACCAGAAATTATTCCAGGGGTGGTTCAGTTCTGGTAGGGGCCTAGAATAATATCACCTCCCCTGTTTGCCTCTATACCGAACCCTGCCTGCCACTACGCCTCACCCAAAACCCATCACAAACCCTTAAACCTCAAGCTTTCCCAACCCATACCAGAAGACTTAATTACTAGTAATTTTCATTCTGCTCCCTATTTCCTGCGCAAGATAAAACTATTCCAGGGGTGGTTCTGTTCTGGTGGGGGCCTGGC